AACTGAGCTAGGCCCGGCGGTGGCCATTCCGTTTCCTTTTTTTAAAAAAAAGGGGGAAAATTTGCATCTCTACCCCACTTAAAGATGGGAATACACGCTATACCCAGTCCCAACATGAACTTGCCTCTATTCCCAGACCCGGTTCAACTTTGTCTTAGTACTCAACTTTTCCCCTGTACGAAATTGTAGGCGTACCAAGAGCTGCCGGCCCTCCGTTCCTGACCACAAAATTATGCTCATGCCCCCGAAACTGGGGTGCAAAATTGTGGGTGTACCCTCACCAGGTGGCGGTCCTTGGATGGCGGACCACCAGATTATGCTCATGCCCACCAATTGGACCATTAATGGCCCAACAGCTGCTGGGTATGAGCATAATTTCAGCCATCCGGGTAGCAGGGCATATGAGTAATTTAGCCAGTCCACCTCAATCAAGGGTATGCCTGTAATTTTGCCTACACATTTCCATGATTATTACTTTGTGCATTCTGGTAGTTGGTTATAACCGCAATTTTGCGGCGCCAACCAGGGTCCATCTCCGTTCTGGGCATGCAAATAATTTCCACCGGATGTTTTCTGGGTATAGAATCTATAGATGCAAGTTGGTGCTGGGCCCGAGTATAGCAGGTATTCCCATCTTTAAGTGGGGTCCCGATGCCATTGTCCCTTCTTTTTACCACAGAGTCAACCGTCTTCTAAGTAAGACGCGATTTAATTTGTAGTAGATGGAAAAAAATCCGGCCCGGATCTTATCTTCACTGGCGATGTGTTTGATCGGAGTGGGAAGAAAGGTACACCACCCGTACTTTTCACAGCCAAATTTCTCCGATGCGGCCGTGCGGTACACCACCAGTACTTTTCACAGCCAAATTTCTCCGATGCCGCCGTGCTTGCACCACATCTTTCATTCACAGCTCACCGGCCCAATGGTTGGCGGTACCAGCCAAAAAAAAAAAAAAAAAAAAGGAGCCCCCCGAAGCGCTGATGATTTAAGCGAGAGCTCCACTCTATGTCTGGCAAGCATTGCGTTGTGATCACCATATGTTATGAAATGGGACAGTGGGAAGCGGGCCTGGGCCCTGGTCTTCCATGGGCCCAGCGTCCCATTTTGGAACATCCGATGACGGCAAGGGTAGCCCAGCGTCGATGCCACTTGTCCGGCTTGCATGCTGCCAAACTTCCTGGGCCTCTGCATCCAGTGAAAAAGGCCTGGCAGCACCAGCCAAAAAGGGGACCACGCCTCTTCGTTTTTTGTTGCGCGGAGGACATTTCCAGCCCTGGAGAAAAGTGCCACGGAAGTACAGGTGGTTTTTGATAAGAAAGGTGTCCCCGCTGTCACAGTGTCATGTGAGAACTAATAACATGAGAGGTGTAAAATCTGGACCCCCTCCTGAAAGCCCCCCGATCAATAACGTAGCATATAGTTGAATGTGGGTCTAAAGAGAGAGGGGGGGGGGGGGGGGCGAAATGATCATGAAAACCTACATCTGCCCCCTAGAGTGGGTGAATGGAAAGAACAGACACTTCCCTATCATCTGACAACGACGGCAAACGGGTACGAGTCTGAAGGGAGGACAGAAAGAATTGTTGCATTCCCACTCCTCTGCCCTACTGACGGTAAGAAGACCACCTTAAAAACCGAAAACCGACTCCCCATCCCCCCACCCTAGCACCTACCTCCGCCCCCCCATCCCCACACTCTGCAACCCCTCACCCCGAGCCCCCGCAAATATAACCTGGCTCCCTAACCATCCCCCCAAAAAACATATCCTATCCCTTAACCATGCCCCCCGCCCCTCCCCAAACGCAAATCCCCCAATCATCTAACGCGTGAACTTGCATGGCTCTGCGGATTTCCTTGCCCCTATCAATCTTCTTCGTTTTATTTTTGTTCTCTCTTTTCCTTTGCGCAGGGGCCATGCTAATCTTCTCTGTCTCGTTCCAATTTTAACGGATGTCCCGAAACCATCTTGCTGATCTGTTCAGAGCCACTCTCCGTGCTACAACCCAATTTCTACGCGCCCACGAGGTCAGCAAGATCCTTTAGATGTAGATGGAGGAGGGAAAAGAGGTCACAAGAGATGGTGTAAGGAAGAAGGCGCGAAGGGAGGGAGAAGAAGACAGTTGCACTCCACAGTCGATGGCGCGAACAAGGAGGAAGAAGAGCACATGAGAGAGGATTGCATGCAAAGGAGGGTACAGAAATGCATTGGGAAAAACTAAACGGCACCACAACCGTTGACGCGAAATGCCCGTGAACATTGCAACTAATCCTACGACAAATTTGAAATCGAGAAAAGCCCAGACAAAGAAAAATAATAAAAAAAATTCCCAGCACGCTCACTAAGGTGCACACTCCTCTCTCTTCTACTCAAAATTGAAAACTTCCACAAATTACAGGGGCATCTTTTAGGGTATACAGGGGACCCCTGCAAGCATAGCTTCCTACCTATCTCCGGTGAAGGGAGGTTACCTCTCTCGGTGAAGGCATGATTAACCCTTTCCCCTAGTGTTTAGAGGGCAGGGTTGTGCCTTGTCATCTGTGATGTATAAGTTTTTTTTTAATTTTTTCTTTGCAAATAATTTATTTCTGCCTGCCAGGGAAGGAGAACCGCACTGAGGCTCCCCAGAGGTGCCGAGAACATAAGATCTTTTTTGTCCCCTATAAACCCTTTTTATAGGGGACAATGAATGCTCCAATTTATTCGTAGGTAGCGACGCGTGCTGCGAACCCGGCCCAGTGTCCCCTGCATACAGAGGCAACTTGAGATACCGGGGCCATTACCCAGCTTTGGCTGAGAATATCAATATTTATTATTTAATGAAAAACAGCTGAACTTAGAAAACCACCTTCAGGCTTCAGGCCAACTAAAAAATATAACATCACCAAAAAAAAAAAAAAAAAAAAGTTTTAAAATTTTCCTATTAAAATATTTGCACCTTTTAGATACTCTCCTTCTTTTTTTACACCCCCTTCAGATACTCTTTGTGAATGAAAGCTCACAGCCTCACAAGTTTTAGCTGCCCCATGTCTGTCTGTCCATCTGTGCTGTGTGTTTTCTTTTTTGTTTAACAGAGGCAAGTTGAGAGTGTGTGAATCTGGTCATGGTGTCTGTCTCCTCACATTGAGAGCCCGGTAGAACGGCTGGGCTTTCATTTTGAGTGGGGGATATAAGTTTACGTGGAATGGAGTCAATGGAGTTCGTTTGCATGCAGTGTTTTTCCTTTCTTTTTGGGTGGGGAGGGGGTGGGAGGAGGGGAGGGGAGCATGTAATTTTTTAGGACAGCAGTGGTTCATATTATTAACACTTTTCGTCCCGTGTTTTCGGACTTGAAGTGCACGACGACGGAACGTATACGGCTCTTCACGCCAGTCTCTCTTTCACTCTGTGCAGGCGATTGGCAGGACTCAACCACGCAAATATAACCAACCTTACTCTCAAAAGCAATCTGCTGCAAATAAATGCATTGTGGATGCATTTTCTCCAGGCCAGGTGTCGCCCGTCTTCTATCACAACCCACAGTACCTTCGCTGGTCTTCCTGCGCATTTGTGGCGCTACAATCTTCCCCCGAACATACCATGCCACGAGTTGCATACAGTGATTTCCAAAAAAGACAAGGGATGTTCAGGGGCATAGGGTATATAATGGTCTGATTTTCGTGCCCTTGCCTTGTCCTTGTCAAACTCAGGACAGCCACTCAGTTTTTACATGGGCAGGGTAAGGTCACAAAATAACAGCATCCACAGTATGCTGTGTTCTTTGTACATTGTCACAGAAGAAAGGATACACAAATCACAAGGTACCATCTCTCTCTCTCTCTCTCTCTCTCTCTCTCTCTCTCTCTCTCTCTCTCTCTCTCTCTCTCTCTCT